AGTTTGCAGATTGAAAAAGAGCTTGTATGGCCTTAAGCAAGCTCCTAAACAGTGGTACAAGAAATTTGATAATTTCATGAACAGTGCATGGTACAACAGATGTCAGGCATATCACTGTTGCTATGTCAGGTATTTTGACAATTTCTATATCATTCTATTGTTGTATGTGGATGATATGTTTATTGTATCTGCTAGTATTTGGAGATCAATAATCTGAATGAGCAGATGTCAGAGAACTTTGCAATGAAGGATTTGGGAGCGGCAAAACAAATCCTTGGTATGAGAACTGTCAGAGATAGAGTCAGAGGCATTTTGAGACTCTCTCAGACTGAGTATGTGAAAAAGGTATTTAACAGGTTCAACATGGATAATGCCAAACCAGTTGACACACTCTTGGGAAGTCACTTCAGACTCAACAAGAATCAGTCACCCAAGTCAGAGGAGGAACGAGATCACATGAGTAAGGTTTCTTCTGCTTCAGCTATTAGTTCACTTATGTATGCTATGGTTTGCGCCAGACCGGATATAGTCCATGCAGTGAGAGTTGTTAGTAGATACATGAGTAATCCTGGAAAGGAACATTGAGAAACAGTGAAGTGAATCTTGAGGTACCTAAGAGGCTTAGAAACTTTCTTGTGTTTCTGTGGAAAGAGTTCAGAGGTATGATGCTATGTTGATGCTGATCTAGTTGGAGACATTGATACCAGAAGAAGTACTATAGATTATATTTATACTGTTGGTGACATTGCAGTATCATGAGACTCTAATCTGCAGAAGACAGTTTCGTTGTCTACTACAAAAGTTGAGTACATAGCAGTGTCAGAGGCTGTAAAGGAGATGATATGGCTACAAGACTTCTTGAAAGAATTGGACAAGAAGGATCAGAAGGGAATTCTCTATAGTGATAGTCAGAGCGTCATATTTTTTGTCAGGAATCTAGCATTTCAGTCTAGGACTAAGCACTTTCAGATCAGGTATCACTTCATATCACTTCATACGATCATCATACGATCATTGTTGGATGACAGACAGTTGATGCTTGAGAAAATTTGTGGAAGCCAGAACCCTGCTGATATGTTGACAAAGGGTGTTACTCTGGAGAAACTGAAGTTGCGCGCAGCTTCAGTTGGTCTTATGGTGTGAAGACATGAGCCTTGAGTTGCAGAGGTGGATGATTCATGTTTGAAGAAAAATGCGACGTCGCCAGATCAGGATATCAGTTTGAGGAAGAAGAAGTTGGAGTCTGTGTATCAGTCTCCAAGTGGAAGATTTGTTGTGTGGAGCCTGGTTCAAATAAAAAAAAAGAATTTATACATACTCCCGCTTCTCTCTCTCCCACGTTCGCCTCTTCTGTCGCGATTCCCGTCTCACGTGAAACAGAAGCCTTACCTACCTCTTGTTCGCGAAATTGAAAAGCTTCTTCCTCCGCTCCCTCTCTGCGCGAGTTTCTGTTTGAAGTTCTGGTGGTTCGATCGAGAAGGAAGGATTTCGTTCTTGCGTTGAAGACAGGAAGGAAGGATTTCGTTCTTGCGTTGAACACAGGAATGAAGACAGGATGCAAGGAGTTCTTGCTTGCGTTGAAGACAGGAAGGAATACTTTCTTGCGGTGAAGGCAGGAAAGGAGTTCTTGCTTGAGGTGAAGACACTAAGAAGGAATTGTTGCTTGCGGTGTTTCCTTTCTTTGCACTTGTCTTCTGTTGTGACTCTCGGATATAGAGAGAGGAAGTAAGAAATTTCTTTCTTGTAATTGTCGACATGATCAGACGGTGTAATTTCCTCAATTAGTAAAATCCTCTGCAACTCCGTGGATGTAGGCAATTTGCCGAACCACGTAAATCTGTGTGTTCTTTTGGTGTGTATTTTTCTCGTGCTATTTTCACCTCGTCGTTAATCGTTATATTTAAATTTCATATATACCACAACATGAACCAGCTAGCCTTCATGGGGGCTGGAATTGCCGCCCCTTTCCTCTCCCAATTTCCTATTTTACTCCCTTTCATGTAGGGAACTTCTTCCTCTTTTATTTCTTTCATATTTCTATTCATTGCTTATTTGTCTTGCTTTCCTATTTCTATTCCTTGTTTATTTTTCTTCTTAAATATTTCTATTCTTTTCCTTTTTCTATTCCCTTCCCAATTCTATTTCATTTCTATTCTAATTTTCTTCCTATTCTAACTACTAGTGCCTATCATAAATATGTTGCTTGCTGTCTTCCGGTTCAGTTTTTGGTTTTCCTGATTTCAAATTTATGTCCAGCTTATTCGAATGCGAGAAAGTGCTCCGGCTGTAACTCGTCCGAGGTGGTGATCTTCTCCAATTGTTTGAGGGGTGCTCTGGTTGAGGATAAAAAGATGTGGTTTGGGTTAAAGTTGATTAGGGGTGTTCCGGCTGTAACTCGTTTGAAGTGATGTTTTCCAATTATGAATATATCTTTTATTGTTGTCACTTTTGAATTCATCAATAAAATTTGCCGTTCAGCTGTGATTTGGGTTTACTTCAATATCAATTTTTTAAGGCAGAGGCGTAAAGTGAGGTGATTTACTTATCACAAATGGGATAAAATGTGTAATATGTTCATAATATTTCAGAAATATATAATTACTGCACAAAAGACCAAATAAAAGACTAATTAAAATAAATTCCAAAGTTTGTAACCATATTTCTATTTTCCACTCCAAAGTCCAATTTATATAAAAATATAAATTCTAATCAAATTAACTATCAAAATAAAACTAATTGTGCGCTATTCAAGTTCTTATTCGTCAATTTTCTTACCAGACAAGTCTTCTTCTTCAATTGAGTACCAAATCATGTGTATGTGTAGGTTTTGGTATTGCAAATTCAATTTCTGGAACAAAGTCCACCTCATTTAAGTTATTATTTTTATCTTCTAGTACATTTGCAACCTGCTTGTCTTTGACTTTGTTAACTAAACTTTTAAAAAGTTAAAGAATGCGTAGGAGATTATAAAAAATAGATTTTAAGTATTTAAATACACTTTAATAAAGCAGTTCACACGAAGATCAGGACAAATTACCTTATCATTAAGTTATTTTTTAATAATGTGGGATAGGCTAAAATTTAATTATTCGATATTTTCAAAAAATAATTTAGATTAAATTATTTAGTGGGGTATACATCATGGCAACTAGGTTCAAAAGGCACACATCATGTATGAGAAGAGGTGATGCCCAACCTTGTGGGCCCACCTCATAGATAAGGGTGTAAAAAGGTCAAATTTGAGTGACCTTGATGTGGCTAATGTTCAGCTCATTTGAATTTTGTATTTGTTAGAATTTGCGCCGAACATGAGCTTAACACCAAGTGATTTGGAGCAAATGAAAATAAATTAACCGCAGGCCAACACGATAGAATTATTTTGAATATTTTTAAAAAATATTTTTATTCAGTTTGTGTAGAAAAATCAAATTGAAAGATTTTTTTTATCATTATTAGCCTTCTCCAAACTTATATTATGTCATCATACCATCATTAGCCTTCTCCCAATTAGTGGGTTTGCTTTTGAATCTTTATCCACTCATTTCTATAGTGTGCTAATTAAGTTATTAACTCTATTTGGAGTATCCTTTTATACAGTTTCTAAACATGCCTTTTGGTGCGTGTAAAACCATCAAATTCGGGCAATTTTGAATACACCGGCTTCTTCACCACCGCCTTCGTCAACCTCGTGCTTGCCAACTTCTCCTCCTCCAACGCAGTCAACACCATATTTAAAATATTAGTTTTATCTTGCAATCAGCAAAAAAATTAAATAAATAAATAAACCTTCTGAATTTCTTTTACAGGAAACCAAATATTGACAAAATATTTCAAATACACGATTTTACTTTGCATTATATCTTTAATATTTTGGAGTTTCAAATGTTTAATCAAATGGCCCCTAACTTTTATTAAATAGGCATTACTCCAACTATTCCGCTAATATAATTATTTTTGATATTATCGTTATCAGTTTTATTGCACATCTATCTTAATATTCTTATTTACATCAAATTGAGCTTTGCTTTTGATGACCTCTTTTTTCTCGCTCACTTTGACGCTTGTAGTATAGCTGATTTAAATTTAGTGTAAAAAAATATCTTTTATTCTTCATGATTTCTTGTGATTGCAATACAGTTTTGATGTGTATCTCTATCTTAACCTATCAACTTTGACTCCAAAATTTTTGGGATGTAGGGACTACTAGCTCACTTCATCATCATCATTATTTTGCACAACTTTCATTGAAAGCAGTTGATTTCAATCTATCGCTTTTTATTCCTAATTCCTTAATATTAATTTATCTACTCATTTTGTTAGTGAATTTTATACATTTTTTTTATATGCCCAGCTCACAAAAGTCTACTTTCCGCTACATATATTTAATAAAAGTTATTCCCATCGTGCCAAAAAAAAAGGTTATTTCTATCATCGCTTTTATATGATAGATTATCAATTTATCCTTAGTGGTTTTACCACATATTCATCTTAATTTTATCAGTTCTACAATACTTTACTTCTTAATCAATCCCTGTTGAATGCTCAAATCTATGCGACTTAGGTTTGTCTACTTGCCTTTTTATAAAATTTACCTTATTGCATAATAATTGCAAAACATTTCTCATTTTAGTCTCAACTCTAAAAGTTATATCCACAACTACATCCCTAATCTTTCATAGAATAGATCCAATTTACTTCATCTGTTGCGTCTTGTTAACACCTTCTCCTTTAGTAATTATCCATTGATAATTCGTAAGACTATTAGAACAACATATCATATGCTTAATCTTTACTCTACTAAGTAGCCCTTTATTTTTGAAATGTTTTTTCATTATCCTAATTTTCACTAGTTATTTTTAGAAAAATGCCTTCTACCAGTCAAATTCTTATATGAACGACAACTAGTGGATACAAGTTTCAAACTTTTTATCTGTTTAGAATAACTACTTTTTTGCTTTTGATCACTTTGCAAATTTACACTTTTGACTTGATTTGTTCAGAAGTGGTAGAATTGTGGCGTGTTGAGAAGATAGATGAAATCAAGAGATTGTCAGTTGCAAATTCAACCAAGGATAGCATTCCTTCAAAAGCAACGAGTATGAATGAAAATAGTTTCTAAAGTCCATCTGTTTTATTTTCCTTTAAAAAAATCAATACATTCGGTGAAGAGAAAATTTTCAAAATTCTCCCCTGACTATTTGCATAGGATTGTCTTAGTCCCAAACTCTATATGAGTGCCAATTTAGTCCCCAAATAGTTTTGATATGGGCTGAAATAGTCATGGGGACTATTTCAGGGGACTATCTCAGCACCAGTTTAAATAATCTGGGGACTACTTTTAACATTTTTATAGACCCTGGGACTATTTCAGCACCCAATTAAACAATCAGAGCACTATTTTGACACTTTACTCATTTTGGTGACATATTTAGCGTTGTATTCTTTACTAGATTAATTGAGGTTTCAATTGTTGATCTGTCTTCTCGGACACTTGATGAATCTTGTTACTTGCAGAGAAGCTGAAAATAGTTTTGGAACTTCATTGGCAGAAGTTCTTGGAGGGAATTGGTTTTTGGCTGCCTTCTGTTGTTACCAACACTTTTCTGGATGATAAACCTGATACTGCAGACGAGCTAGGTGTTTTTTTCTGCTCAACGTAATTTTTAACTTCGATAGCATTTATTATTTAGGCACAATGATGATATTTTCGGTCACTTACATAAATACCTCTCAAATTTTTTGTATTTACATATCTAACACCTAAACTTTAATTTTTTTATTCATAACACCCAAATCTTTCATATCACACAAAAAATACCATTATTTTAATTGTTAATAGGTGAAATACACCTTTTCATGCATGGGTAAGGTGACATATATGTAAAAATTGAAGTTGTTAGATATGTAAATACATATGGGTAAGGTGAACATATATGTAAAAATTGAAGTTGTTAGATATGTAAATACATAAGAATTGTGTGATATGCATGTACATCTAACATCTTCCTATTAGTTTCCTTGGTATGATCCGATTATCGTGTTAGCCTACTGCAGATTGTACATCTTACTCGTCTTTCTGGCATAAATTTGAAAATTTCCAATCCGACTCATTTATTACTGTTTAATTTTACATATTTTCTTTTGACAGAAGAAGAAATAATTCCCGGGCGGTCAATGCCACCCGAATGTCATACTGAACTGCATACTGATTATGCTGGCGCTGCTGTGAGATGGGGCCTTACTCACCACACAGAAAGTGCTGCAGACTGTTGCCAAGCTTGCCTGGACCAGGCCAAAAGTGCAAAACCTGGAGGAATGAAGTGCAATATCTGGGTTTACTGCCCATCAGAGTATGGATGTTATTCTCCAGACATTTATGAACATAAACATCAAGAATGCTGGCTTAAACAGGTATGTTGTCATTATTATTTTTCAACTTCTTAAAACGTACATTCTATATTCTTTGTTTTATTATTGCTAAGCCTCCTATGATGCAAAACTTAGAGTTTATTTTCGTTGGAAATACAAGCTGTGTGATTTGAGAGAAAAATTGAGAGAGTTTTTATCTAGTTGTTTTAGTTTTTTTTTTCTTCTTTTTTTTTATGTAGGGGTTTTAATTTTGTATTTTATTTTTTCGAAATTTATGTAGACACCACACATTTCTTATTTATTTACATATTTAACTCCCAAGGTTTGATATTTAGGCTTATAACACCTTGCTGTCAAATACTTTTGCATGAAAATGTGTATTTCACTTTTTAAAAGATATGGTTGTTATATTTTTGATGCAATATTAATGATTTGAGTGGTATTCATGTAAATATGAATGTTTAGGTGTTAGATATGTAAATACATAAAATTTATGTGTTATGTATGTAAAAGCCTCTTTCTTTTAAATAAAGTTCACTAATGATATTTTTTATTGTGGAAATAGTTTTATTATTTGAATTTTCTTGGAACCTTTGTTTCTGTTCTTGATAAGATTTGTGTCTTTGAACTTCTACTACTATGTTCAGCGGCCTTTAGCATGCAAATGTTGGTTCTATTTTCAAAAGATTTTTGCTTTATTTTATTTTTTTGGGCCGTGATATTTCAAGCAGAGTTTTTAGGGAACTTTAAGCCTTCTGTAGTTGATCGTTTGGGTGATATTTTGTTATTTTGACCTACAAATTTATTTTCTGGTTTGGTGTTGTTGGCTTCCATTATCGAGACCCAAGTCCCGGATGCAAAAAGTGGAGGGTTGCGTTAGGTATTGACAACCAATGTAAATTTTATTTTTCAAAATCATGACATGAAGCCTTTAATTATTATATCAATGCTAGGACATCCTCTGAAAGCGACGTTTTTTAAGACCCGAGTACAGTGAGAAGTGAGTAAGGGCTGTTGTACCGGTGTCCGGATGTAGTGTTAAATAAGTAAGAGTTCTCATATTATAGATGAATGCAAACAAAGAAGTTAGTCAATCAAAGTAATATTAGGATAGAAAATGAATGAGTTGGTGTTTAAACTTTGGTATTCAGGTAAAAGTTTTACTAGAGATGATGTTTGTATAATTATATATAAGAGTTTGAAAGATAGTGCTATAAAATTTAATATAATTGAAGATAAAATTATTACTCTAAAGTTTATTGTTGCTATTAAGATTCTTAATATTATATGTATTTATGCTCTCCTTAAGTAGATTTAAAAATATGTTTAAATGAAAAATTTTGGAATGACCTAGAAGAATTAATACAAATGATACATCTCATTTTTATTTGAGAAGATTTAAATGAATATGTTGGTAAAATTATAGAACATTTTAAGTATTCATGATGACCATGATTTTAGAATGATTAATGAAGAATGGAGAGTCATATTTGATTTTGCTTTAGTTTATAATTTTATTACTGTTAATAAATTTTTTTAAGGTGGTGCATTTTGCATTAATGCTAATACTTTATTTAAGAACTAATAAAAAACAAATTGATTTTTTTTTTTTTTTGAGAAAAATAGATTGTTGAGAGTGTAAAGATTATAGTGTCATTTCAAGTCAAAGTTTAGGTGACCAATATCGATTATTAGTTTTGGATTTTAAAATGAATGGTTGAAAAACTAAAATTACAACAAAATATTATTTTATAGTTAAAATATGAGCTCTTAAAAGACACAAATAAATTTTTTTATGGGTAACTTCAGGATCTTAAAATTTGAGATGTTCATGATGGAGCTAATGCTATATGTGATAAAGTAATTAGTTTTATTATGCTGCGAAAGAGATGTTTGAATTAAATGAAAAAACTTTTATGAATAAAAATAAATTGTGATAGAACAATAATATGTAAGAAAAGATAAAAATAAAAAGTTTTGTTATAAAAATTAGTTTATCTGTAAAAGCTTGTAGAATTGGGAAAAATATAAGATAACCCGTAGGGAATTTAAGAGATCAATTTGTGATGTTAATAATTTTACTTTTAATAATATTTATAGTAAATTAGATACTAAAAAGAGTGAAAAATATATCTATAAACAAGTCAAACAAAGAGATAAAAAAAATAAAATTTTAATTAAAATAAAATGTATTAAAAATGAAAATAAAAAAGTACTTTTCTTTAAATGAGGAAATTCAATATTGGTGTGTGAGATATTTTTGATGAATTATTCAATGAAAATTATGACAATATGATTTTTTTAGTAGTCTTAATATTGTAAATAATAACAATTTTTTATTTCTATCATCACATTAGCAAAATACAAGTCAAAGGGCTTTAAAGAAAATTAAGTTTGGAAAAATAATTGGGCTTAATGATTTTTCAATAGAAGTATGAAAATGTTTATGGGATCTAGGAATATTTCGACTTATTACTAAAATTTTTAATATTACTTTAAAAATTAAGAATATGTCTGATGAGTGAACAAAAAATATATTGATTCCTGTTTTTAAGAATAAAGTGAATGCACAAGAGTGTGTAAATTATGTAGGAATTAAGTTAACGTGTCAGAAATTAAAGTTATGAGAGAGAGTAATTGAACATAAGTTATGATGTGATACAAAAATTTCTCAAAATAAGTTTGGGAAGCTATACAGTTATTGAGAGGTTTGATGGAGAAGTAGAGTAATGAAGATCTACATATGTTTTTTGTTGATTTAGAAATTATGTTAAAATTCCAAGGGAAGTACTTTGGAGAGTTCTAGAAAAGGAAGATTTTGATATTGCTTATATTTAGGTCATTAAAAATATATATACTAGACTTGTTAATTGTGTTCGAACTCAAGGAAGATTGTAATTTTCTTACTTCAATTGGATTACATCAGAGATCGGCTTTAAGCTCATATCTTTTTGCTTTAGTTATGAAAGTTCTTATTGGACATTTATAATAGGATGTACCTTGGTGTATGCTTTTTGCAACTGAAATCCTTCTTGTGGATAAGATTAGAGAGAGTTTAAGAAAATTTTGAATTATGAAGGATAACTTTAGAGTCTAAAGATTTTTGTTTGAATAGATCTAAAACTGAATACGTGGAATATAATTTTAGTAGTGATAGATCTAGTGGTGAGGGTAGTAACAATGGTTTATCAAGTCATTCCAAGGAGTGAACTTTTAGATATCTCTATTATATTGTTCAAAATGATGATGATATAGACAGAGGTGTTATTAGTAGAATTCAAGTTGGATGGTTGAAGTGGAGGAATACATCAGGAATATTGTGTGATAGAAAAAGTGCCGCTTAAACTTTAGGAAAATTTTATAAGATGGTGGTCATACCTGCAATGCTTTATGACATGGAAAGTTGTCTTGTAAAAGAGAGTCATAAAATTAAGTAAAGTGTTGCTGAGATGAGAATGCTCATGTGGAGGAGTGGTTTTACACTTAGAGACGAAATGCAAAAGAATATATTCGTGGAAGGCTTGAAGTAGCTTCAATAGCATACAAGATTAGAGAGAGCCGCCTTAGATTGTTTGGTCACATTAAATGTGAACCATATGGTGATCTAGTTAGGAGAGTAAATGTTTTAGATTTAACTTATGTTAAGAAAGGCGAAGGTAGACCTAAAAAGACTTGGGCATGTTGTATAAAAAATGATCTTAATTTATTATAATTAAATGAAAATATGACACTCAATAGGACACAATGGAGAAAAAGGACTCATGTATGCATTTAGCCAACGCCGCTTAGTGGGATAAATGCTTGTTGTTGTTATTTTTATTGTTTAGTGTTGTTGGCTCCGAGCATATGATGTCTTGCAACATAAATAGTTTTTTAATACGGATTGGCTTGAACGGATCATGTGGTGGTTTATTTCTTAAACGGTCTTTTAACTCAATTTATCACTTCATTCTTTTAATTTTATTTATTTTGCAATTTAATTAATTGTTTTTCCTAACTTTCCAAATTTCATCATCAGTTGAGTTATTAAATGAACTTGATATTGAGCCTCATTTCTAGTTAATGTTTTTTCACAACTTAAGCTATGCAACATATGATGTAAGAAGTAAATTGCGTTAGAATAAACACTTATGATAATTTTAAATAAGCTGACTTTATTATGTTTGAATATTTTCTTAGTTTTAAAGATTTTTTTTTGCAACATTATTTTTATATGTATTACTTTGTTACTATCATGTAAAACTTGCACTCCTAACTTAAGAGTTATTTATTGTCTTTATATGATATATTGAATGCAAAAAGTGATTGGCAGTTAATTGTAAATATAATTTTATTAAATTTGAATTTATTTCATGTTAATTTTGTGGAGATAAAGAGTTCTAATATAACGTATAATTTCTCATTTTGGCAAACCATAGAAATGTTTTATTAGGGGGCTATTTGTTATTTATTATTTTTATTTTTTTATTTAATGAATGTTATTTGTGATAAGGGATGTTTGATTAGATGTTTTCTCTCATACTGAGGTAAGTTTAATAACATTAATAGTCAAGCTTGCTGTAATCTTAATATTGGTCAAATTGGATGTTATCTAAATTATCTCAATTTCTTATGGCTTAAAAAAATAAGAAAAAAATTCTCAATCACCATTATCTATTTGAATTATTTTAAATAACATAATATTCTTTAATTAAAATAATATATAACCAATCACATTATATTTTAGGAAAATTTAAATGCATACCACTTAATTCCTTTGTAGTTACATATATAACACAACCTTAATTTTTACATAGATACCACTCACTTATGCCTAAAAAGTTGTATTATATTCTTTAGAAGTTAAAGTGGTGGTATTTTTTGGTGTAATATGAAATATTTGGGTGGTATAAATATAAAAAGCAAACTTTAGGTGTTAGATATGTAAATACAGGAAAATTGGGTGGTATTTTTTGTGAGGTACTTAAGAACTTGATATTTCTTGCCTATGGGTTTAGAGTTTCCATATTTATGTTTCTGAGATTTGGACTAGACCAGCTCAATTTTATTTATAAAAGAGGAAGTATTTAAACTCAACTACGATAAACACAACAAAGAAAAGAAATAAAACAAAATAAAATGAGAAGAATAAAACAAAATAAAACAAAAAAGAAAATATATAATGAGAGAATTAAAGCTAATAGTCATGAAATAATATGTAATAATGGTCAGAGAATTGATTGGGATTTGATTGTCGTTATAAATCTAACTCTCCCTCAAGTTGAAGTATAGATGTCATTCATGTTCAACTTGAATTTGAAGTAATTGAATAAAGGTCGAAGAAGATTTTTGGTGAGGATATCCACTAGTTGACCATTGGATGGTACAAAAGACATAATTTCCCTGAACTCAATTTTTCCTTGATGAAGTGTCTGTCTGTCAATCTCCACATGTTTGATACGATCATGCTGGACCGGATTATGAGCAATGCTGATGGCGGTCTTATTATCACATAATAGTTGCAGTGGGACAGAGGTTGGGCTACAAAGCTCACAGAACATGATGCGTAACCAGGGGATTTCACAGATCTCCAAGGCCATGGCCGGAATTCAATTTCAACATTGCTCTGAGCAACCACAATCTGTTTTTTGCTTTTTCATGTGACCAGATTTTTCCATACAAATGAGCAAGACCTCGAGGTGGAATGTCAGTCATAAACTGACCCGGTCTAATCAACATCAGTATAAACAACAATAGATCTAGAGATATGATGATAGAAAAACAAACATGAGTCCGGTGTACTTTTTAAATAGTGGATAATCTGGTGGACGACTTGGAGATGGTGCTTGTAAGGATTATGCATGAATTGACTTACTATACCAATTTTGTGGTATTGTTTGAGCAAGTGTGGGCGAGAAGAGTGTACCTACAAGGCGCTGATAATGATTCTTGTTGACAAGCATAACATTGAGAATGTTAGATAATTTTTCATTGGGATCCATAGGGGCAACCACTGGTTCGCATAGAAGAAGGTCCTCTTTCAAGAGGTCAATCACATATTTGTGCTTTGAGATGATCTAGTCAATTTCATGCCTAAGAAGTACTGGAGATCATAAATCCTTCATTTCAAAGGATTTGATAAGAATGTCTTTCAAGAACTCCAGTGCTAGGAGATCATTTTTTGTAAGAACAATATTGTCAGAATAGACAATAAGATTAGTTACCTGGCGAATGCCGGAAGAAGAGAGTGTGATTCGATTGAGCTTGAGCAAAATCATGACCCACGACCACCTTAATGAACTTATCGAACTAGGCTCTGTGGGACTGTTTTAGCCCATAGATAGACTTTCATAGCTTGCATACTTGCCCTTTTAAGGCAGTAGAGTCAGCCATGAGGAAGAGACATGTATATCTCTTTTGTAAGCTCTCCATTTAAGAATACATTCTTGACATCTGACTGAAATAAAAACCAATCCAGATTCACTGCAAGGGACAACATGACCCAAATAGTGTTTAGCTTAGCCACTGGAGCAAATGTCTCATCATAGTCAACTCCGTAGGTCTGTGAGTACCCTTTGACAACCAATCGTGTTTTGTTACATTCAAAGGATCCATCAGAGTTGAACTTGGTGTTAAAAATCCATCGACACCCTGCAACTTTCTTACTCTGAGGTATATTAACAACATCCCATGTATGGTTCTGTTGAAGGGCACTTATATCCTCCATTATGGTCGTTTTTCGTTCTCCAGGCTGGATCAGTAAGAGCATCCTCAATAATAGCTGGGATCTGATGGTCCATCAGGGTAGTGGTAAATGCTTTGTAGGTCGGTGATAAACTGCGGAAAGAAACATATTTTGTCATAGAATAGATGGAACATGTCTGATTGCTTATCTTACTCGGATAACTCATATTCTCATTTGGAGGACGGGTCGTGTTGAGGATGTCGCCCAGACTGAAGTCAAGAACCTTTAAGGAGGTAGTGGATTTGAAAGTAGGAGCATTGCAACCGGTGCGCTGAGTGCAACTACGGATGGTGGGGGGAACAATAAATGGTGAGAGCTATAGGAAGAGTAACTTGTCAGATGTAGGAGGTCGATGGACTTGAAGTAACTTGATTGGCTCCAAAAAGCTTTATCAATCACTCCATCTAGTTTTTCAGTGATTCGGTGGATTCCAGGATGTTTTGGGTTGGAGCCGGTTGAGCCGTGTCTTGTTCGACGGTCGTTGTGAGCAGAGGGTATGGTTGAAGATTTGTATGTAGGCTTACCGTGAAGTTTCCAACACTTGTCCCTAGTGTGGTTAAACTTGTAACAATAATCACAAGTGGGGTGACCAATCCGCGGTGACATCAACGGGAGCTTAGCACTATTTGAGATCAAAGCGGATAACTCAGTTGAAGGTGTAAATATACTGAGCATGACAAGTATCCCGCTTTCTTCCTGACTAATCTTGGTGAAAACAACGCGAGCGGAACGAAGCGTATCCCGACCAGGAACACGGCCTCGAACCTCGTCAACGTCTTTGCTAAGGCCAGCAAGGAATTGGTACATACGATCATTTTCTACGATCTTCTGGAAGAGAGGTAAGTCGACAAGAGATTCCTAAGTATAGTCATAGTACATGTTGTATTCCATTCATAATGCAATAAGGTTATTATAGTATAGGGTCACTGTCCTCGACTCCTATTTTACCTCCCGGATCTTCTTAGATACCTCATAGAGTTTCGGAATTTTCTACGTCTGATTAAGTATCACAGACTGCTATCTAGAGAGCACTAGCTGAAGGAAGGAACATGTACAAACGACCAATTGAAGTTTCTATGGAGTTGGTCAGTCACGACATAATCGTGGAGTTTTTCACTTCCCAAGCTCCATAAGCTTGATTAGCCTTTGGAGGCTCACGAATCACGCCTTTAAGGTAATAAAAACACTACTTGGGATCATTGGAGAAAGTTACTGTCGTTCAATTTATGGGTTGTTATTAAGAAATTTATTTTAGCTTCCGGTCCTCGGTTAGTAATGGAGTGGGAGTTGATCCTCTGATGGAATAAAAAGCACCTACTTAAGGTAGTTCTTAGTTGGAGGAATCCACCATAATTTCGACCGAGCCAAAGGAAATGTTGTCAAGGTTTTAACTCTGGTAGAGTCACACTGAAGGATTGCAGGAAACTCGCAGATGACTGAATTTGCGCAGACCAAAAAGAGCCCTGTTGAAAGCAGAAGAGCACCGTGGGCCTGTGGTTGCTCTCAAGAGAACCGCAGAAGGCTTGCACAGGAGGGATCAGTGGCGGCAGGATCACCGCCTTGCGAATCGGGGGAACAACTAAAAGGGGGATCGGGAACCTGTTGAACTGAAGGCCAGCAAATCTTGCTGAACCTGGCGGGATCTGATGAACAGAAGGTTGAGGACGTTGGGGGATGTTGGATCTTGGGTTATGCTCTGATATCATGTTGATATTTGGAATATACAACTCAATTCAATTAATAGAAGATGGGGTATTTAAACCTAATTACAACATGCACAACAAAAAAAAAAAAAAAAAAAAAAAAAAAAAAAAAAAAGGAAGAAGAAGAAAATAAATAGGAAAAAAATAAAACTGAATAAAACAAAGAAAGAAATACATAATGAGGGAATTAAAACTAATAGGCATGAAATAATAAGTCATAATATCCAAGGAATTGTTTGGGATTTCATTGCCGTTATAAATCTAATATATGTATTAATTTATTGTGTTAGAATCTAATGCTGAAATTTAGTCAGAGCATTTAATCATTTCTGAGGCTAAATCTCAATTACAGTATTAAATTTTATTCATTGAGAAACTAAACAAATTGTCTATAATACTAATGAATGATGCTATAATACTACAATCTAATTAAGTTATTATATGTAATTCCAGAAGGAGGTAATTATGAAAAAAAAACTAAAAAGTTCATGTTTATGTAATCCTGCATTCATAAAATTTTCTTCCAATGGCAAACAAATAACACAAATGTGACAGGATAACTGATTTGTTTCCCTCTATTTGTGAATGCAGGATGAGAAACCTCGCCTGAGTTTCAAACATAAGTACTCCGAATCCTACAGGAGCTCTCACCCAACCGCACCGGTCGCCGTCCCGTGGATGTCCGGCGTAATTAGTAGATGAATTGGCCTCATAACTTGGTGCCGAAACGCTACCGTTCCTCCCTGAAGGTTGGCCTTCATTCAACCTCCACAATCTTTTTTTTAACCAGCAAGCCCCCAGCATTTTGCAAACTGACCCCTTTTTCTTAAGAAAAAAAATTCCAGAAAAGTTTGCCTTTTGTGCATGGGAGGCTTAAAACTCTTTGATAATTCTTCAGTTAAACAGTTTATGATTTATAGAAATAATATATTTAGATTTGATGCAATTTTGATTGAACTTCTCTCTGTTCATCAGCTCATCCTGCAATTTTGATTGAACTTCAATATTGAAATTCTTTCTCAAGTTTTTTTAGTGGTATTTAGGATATGTTTGGAGTAGTCTTTTTGCAACATTGTTTCATAGAAGTTGTCAGTATGCTTGAATTTGTCGCACATTGGTTGGAAATAAAATGAAGAATTTAGAAAGATCAGGTTTGAGCGCTCATCTATCATCACACTCAGAGAAAAAAGAAAAGCTCTTAATTTGGAGCGGCCTTGATTTTATTGCTATTTAAAAAATAAATTAATGAGAATTTTGAATATTTTTGCAATCATATTTGTTATATTAGTTATAAATTATTTATTTTTTTAAGAAAAAAAAATTACAGCTCCCAATCTCTTTCAAAAAATTTATGGCCATAATAAGGATTTATTGTTAGACAACAGATTGTTATTCAAGCATTTGGGGTGTGCTGAAGAGTAGACTTTGGTCTTGTGATGGAGAAATTATTTCAAACAGAGTATGTACATAGTTTTATGTGCGGACTCCAGTAACATGTCGTCACATGAATGTTATTGGGGAGTTATTACAGAGTTTAATGCAAAGAGTTATTGAAATGGAACCACAAGGGGTTATTGGGGGTTGTTGGAGTGGAGCCGCCGAAGTTATTGGGGGCAATAACCGCCCCAATAACCAACCTAAATAATCTCCGCAGATCCACTCCAATAACCTTTTCAGCTTTAATTTTTTTTAGGTGGTCACATTACGACATATTACTGGAGTCCGCACGTATAGCTGCATACGTATTGTGTATACAATAATTTCTCCTTTTGATGGAGTAAGATTAGTCCTTTCACATATCCTATGTGGTCTTTTTGAATCCGGAGTGCAAGAATTTTAATCTTTATTTTAAATCTATTTAGAAACCTTTAATTTCCTAATTTTTAAATCTATTTATTACAGCTATAGTCACGGATCCGGTTAAATTCGATTTTTTTAAACGTAAAAAAAAAAGAAAAAAAAAGAGGAGAGCTTCTTGGGTTGATAATCAGCCAATTAATTTTTAATGATCTGCTTGGGGCGTCTGTAATTTTCTAAAAATATGATTGTAAAATTATGATGGAGAAAATAATTACTTAAAAAGCTGTAAAAGAATTATATATATATATATATATATATATATATATATTTCTAATAATCAGACGGATTTCTAAGTTGAAAATTAACAAGAAAATAGTTTTTGAAAGCAAAATTGTCAGAGATTTTACAAATTAATAGTTTTATTCATCAATAAATTAATAATTAGATTAATTATAATTTTAGAAGATTGATAAAATTTTAATATGTAATTTTTATAATTTATGTTAATTAATTAAAAATATAATAATATTATCTCCCGAAAACTCGCCTCTCCCTGTTCGTCCTTCAACTCATTCAACGCGGCGCAGAGAGAGAGAGAGAGAGAGAGAGAGAGAGAGGGTTCAGAGAAGATCGCCGGCACAGCGGGCGGAACAAGGAGGGGTTGTCGTCGATTTGGGCGTCTTTCTTGTTCGAAGAGGTATGATGCGTTTTCCTTGTTAGTCTTTCACCTTCTCATTCCCCTTTCTCCGCTAATGCTACGGCGGGAAGGCGTTTGGCTCATGTTCTCCATTGAGAGGGCTCTCTGGAGAGAGCGCCTCTCCAGCTAGTCTTCTCTCTTATATGCTCGAAGCAGTAGATATGTGTCTTTAAAAGAAGTCCCCAACTCTCCATTGTTCTGAAAAGTTCTGTATATTCAAATTTCGGATAACTTGAGGGAATTAAAATCTAGGGTTCAGGGTGGCAACATGTTTGGTTATTTGTTTTTAAAAGGAAATTTTTTTTTAAATCCGTTAAATTCAGTAAATCCAACAAATTATGGGATTTAACAAAGCTTACATTTAATCAGTAATTGGGAAGAAATAAGATTTTATTAAAACAATGGGATTTAAAGATCTCCATATTACTATTTCGCAGGAGTTAAGCTAAATATTGCTTACTTGCTGCCTAAATAGAGTACCAAAGAGCTTCTAAAAGTTGTTGATTGTTTAGTTTACTTTTAGTTGATGTAATCATGCTACCTAATATCTTTTTAATGCAATTTGTCTTACATGAATTCCACACGGGGGGGGGGGG